CTTAAGTTTTCACTTAGAAGCTGTTGGTTCTGGGAGAGGAAGATTTGTTTGAAAATTCAGAGGTTTGTTTTTCCTTCTAGAATTATTTACATTTTAAAAGGGAAACACTATACTATTTTTGTTGCCACAGTCAATCTTATTGAGAGCGACACAAAACCGCATACGCTCAGAAAACCACAGGAAAAATGATATGTGGCTGCCGCAGCACCTCAAAACACTACCAAAGCTGCAGGACAGACCGACCACCGTGTTACCCTTTTCCCAAGTGTTCTCATCATTATACGTGGACTCTGTGCCTGGAACCAGAACCCGGAGCCCAGCCCTACAGAGCTGGGAACACATGAGTGTTTACGCCACAATTGGAAAGCAATCCCAGCTTATATTTAAATTCTGCAGGTAATAAAGTCATCTCGGAAGTAGACCGTCCAAACAACAGATTAGGAACAAAACCCAGGACACACATGCGCTGTCTTCTCATCACACAGCGAAAAGTCAGGACGCTGTCACTGGGGGGGGAAGTAGGTTCCAGAGTGAACCAGCTCACATCTCAACTACAGGAAGAGTTTAGCAAACCTCAAGAATTCATTTTTCCCCCCTAGAATGGGGATTGAACCCAGAATCTTTTCACTGAGTATACCCCCAACCATTTTGTTGTTGCTGTTTTTGTTTACATTTTGAGACAGGGTCTTGTTTTAAGTCCCTCAGTTGCCCAGGACAGGCTTGAATTTGTGACCCTCCTATTTCTGCCTCCTAGAGTTCTGGGATTATATTATATATTCTTTGGCAAGAAAAGAATCAAGCAAACTTTGAGGGCTGTTAGGTAGCTCTTCCTTGATTACAATAAAATATTAAAGATACCATAATGTCTTTATCCCTGCTTGGTGGGAACTGAATCTTGCATGCCAGCCAAGAAAGTTACACTTTCTTGATAAAACTTGATACTTTTTTTCTAAAGATTTTTTTTTGCTAACTGAACTAAGGAACATCTAAAGGGTAATTTGTTTTCATACAGAGTGATACATTAACAATTGTTACAAAATTGGATTACTCAAGCTGTTTCATTCACACGGCTTCTAAGAAGGCTTAGATGTCAATGCTGACAGGTATCATTGCTGACTTGAGCTCAGAGCACAGCAATAGGAGTCCAGGGGCACAATATCCTGACTCCTGGGGCCCCTGTTGGGTTGCACTGGTGAAAAGGAAAAAGGATGTGTTAAGATACACTCTAACACCAAAGAACTTGAGGTATCACAGAGAAGCCTCAAGTGTTTCTTCTTACTGCCAGTGTCTAGGGGATAGGAATGGCCTCAGAGGCCCAAACCATTTGTCCCTCTACACAGCACAGCATACCAAGGCACCAGGCGTATGATGCCATCAGGAAGACAGCTGATAAGGAACCAAGGAGCCCAGGTGAGGTGAGGCACGTGAGCGAGCTCTGGGATTGGAGTCCCTATTTCTGTTTTCACCACTAAGGCATCTGAACCCCTCACAGGGCACCAGGACACTTGGCCCCCAGAGCTGTGGGACTGGACAATATGTGTGAAGGTTGTCAGTGATGACTGAGGCCAGCTGCCCAATTTAGGTCCCTCCTGTCACCCATCTGGAACCCAGCATAATGTTCAACTGCCCACTTACCATCTGCTGGGTACCAAGCTGATGCAAGACATTGGGCTTGGGGGAGTCGTGGGTTTTCCTGGGGCATCACCACTTGCTCACCCATCTCCTGCTGCAGCTCTGCCTCCTTCCTAGTGATTTCTTAGTCTGGGGTTTGCTACCTTTCCACGGCTAGTAGGTGGGCTGGTTCCCAAATGGCTTCAGCCTCAGCTGCTGTTGGGAGCAGTCATTCCCCTTAACCTGTCTTCCAAAAACCACAACTTGTCAACAATTTTTAACTCTAGCCACTCCATAGGTGTCACACTTGATCACCCAACTGCCTAGCAGCTGGGAAAAAATTCTCATGATCACTGAAAAGCTACTTTCCTGGAATTATAATGGAGAGTGAGGGTTTCCTTGTTCATCTGTTCAGGTTTGAATTAGAAAACAAATCAGAAATGAATGGCATGATGTAGACATAGAGCAAAGCCTTGCATGCAGTGGCTCGTATCATACTCTTATCAATGCACACTTCAAGTAGACTCTTTAAATGTGTAAAAGGGATCAACTTGGTGATCAGGCTCAGTCGTAAGGCAAGGCACAGGTTAATCCATCAACTGCAAGAAGGAGATTGGAAAAGGCAGTTTAGGATGGAGCATCAGCTGCCCCTTTCTTCCTTCACAGGAAAAACACCTGTAAGGGAGGAAAGGGCCACGAACAAAGTCAACAGGGGCCGTGTTAAAAGCCAGTGGGTCACAGCTGGCATGTACTCCACAGTCTAACGCCGACGTTAGTTTCTGGCAAAGGTCAGACTGGGATCTTTTACAGCCAGACAGAGGGACGTCAGTATGGCATATTTGAGAAGTTAGCATTGTTTGCAATAGTTCAAACAGAACCAGCTGTGAAACACCACAGAGGCTTGGGGATTAATATGCTGAAAATGTTAGCTGGTAACCATCAACTGTGCCCTAAAACCCTGTGGCTCTCAAATATGGGGTCACTGTACTGCCATGGGCTGTGGTGCATATTCTTTCCCCACCAGCTGCTATGTCTGTCACAGAGACAGGGATCAGCTGACTGGCAAACCACATGTGCTATTTCTGTGCATAGGATGTAAGTATACACCACGGTAAGTCAGACCAGGATGTGAGTCAGATGGTACTAAAAACCTGGACAGAACTTGTCTTCAAAGTGTGCAGAAAGCATCATGCAACCTTCAACACCGTCAGCTTGAAAGACACTTATAATTACTAAGTGAAGGAGAAACATTGAAGAACACAGAAGATTCGAATTGGTCAAAAGCCTACCAAGAACAAATGGGAAAGACAGAAGCCACGAAACCTGGAGGCCTTAAAATTCTGCAGTAAAAAGGAAGACTTTCCAGGACTACATCCTTCCCAGCAAGCCTGGGTCAGACGTGTACGACTAGCAAGGTGGGGCAGCTCAGAAGAGTTGTGGAACGTGTATTTGCTTAGTTGATCGTATTAAAACAAATTATTTTATCTACAGAGCAACCTTTCTGGGACCAAATGAATGGCCCTAACCTGGTTCATTAGAGAAAAGTTATTGGCACTGAAGTGTAAAGATATACAAGGAAGGGGACATCTGTAACACCAGAAAGAGTAAAAACATGGCAACAATCACAGCGCCCCAAAATTAGTTAGTTCACCACTCTTGTCCCTTTCACGGAGCCCAAGCAGCTGCTGAATGATATAATTTGAATGTTCTGATATGGAATGAAGTCTGAGATGGATGATTAGGGAGAAATATCAAGCTGTAGAAAACATTCATGGTGATCATATTTCGGTTAGAAATGATGTTTGAGCCGAGGATTTAGCTCAGTGGCATAAGCGCCTGCCTGGCAAGCGCGAGGTCATGAGTTCGACCCCCGATACAAAAAAAAAAAAAAAAAAAAAAGAAAGAAAGAAAGAAAGAAAGAAAAAGAAATGATGTTTGAATAAGAAAAAGCTTCTAAAGAATTGGAAAAATTCACTAAGAATTTGTGACAGTGAGGACTTTTTACACCCATATTCATTGTTTGAACCCTTTATAACAAACATCTATTACTTTTATAATAGAGAATAAAACCAACGAAGATTATTTGCAAGGGAACAATAGTCTGAATGTGGTCCTTTCTCCAGTAGCTGGGCTCTCGGAAGGCTTGGGTAGCCTCTGAGCACCGTGCATGCCTTGGCTGAATCAGCCAAGGAGCAGCGCAGCCCTGAGCACTCTGCAGGTCGAGGACTGGCCTTCCTGAAATGCCATGGTAAAGAGGGCCACTGGCCTTGTCATTGCCCCCATCAGCACCTTTCATAGCCTGTGTAGCTGTACTTCTGCTTAGTGAGCTGTAGTGGTTCAATGCTCAGCCATGCTTGTGGCCAAGAGCTCAACTCTGGCATGCCAGCACTTCTCAGTGTGGTTTCATTGAGCTGTACAGAGTTATTAGTGAAGAGTGACAATCACGTTGCATCTGCCACATTGATCCCTCCCAGCTGACCTTGCAGAAGCACCTTCCCTTCAAGGGTCAGAGTGCAGATAGCTGCTTGGCCTATCTCTGTGACTACAGGAAGTCAACCTAATGTCCTCCTGCCAGACATTTATTTCCTCTTGGTCGGTCAACTGTGCCCTCTGATGCATCAGGCCCATCTGCCGAGCCCGTCTCTGGTTTGGAAACAGCGGCAGCTTGGGCTTGTCATCCAGCCTTGTTTGTTCTTTCCAGATCTCCTCTGACACTTCCAGGCTTTCCCCTCCATGTAATGCCCACCTAAGCAGTCCCTACTCACTCTTTAGGTCTGAAGGTCCTTGCCTCTGGGGAGCCTCTTTCGACAAGCAAGACCAAGCCAGGTCCCTGTACACCAGGACACAGGGCCATCCTCACCTTTCATGTGGCTCTGTGACACCCTAGCTGACAGCTATCCTCCTCAGTAGAACATAAGCCGTTTGAGGGCTGAAACTACACCTGCCTTTGTGCGTCCCTGGCCAAGATTCCCACATGGTTTCCGAGGACAGGCTTGCTCAATAGGAGGGACCACGCAAGGGCTGCGGAGTGGAACACGCAGTATAGAAGGGAGGAGAGTCAAGCTGCGCAGCACTCTCTCCCGCCTATGACCAGGTTCCTACTCCTAGTTTTTATCACATGTGTCCAGATGACGTTACTGAGGAATATTTCCTTTCTTAAATGTGTAGACTTAATAAAGTTAGCTGCTCAGTTGACATTGCAGTGCCCATGATACTTTGACCCCCTGCTTGCCTTTTGGGGCCTCCTCAGTTGCTCCAGGACACTAAGGGGTAACTTGGGCAGTGCTGTCCTAGAGGATGGAAAGAATACAACAGGGGTAGAAATTCTCTGCTTAGAATCAGAAAGGACCCCAGGGAGCTATGGGGGAGGCGGTGGACAGGGCACTGACCTCGGCTGAGGCGCTGCTTCTCCCCAGACAGGATGCCGGGGCTGTCAATGATGCTGATGCTCTTCAGGACCTGATTGGGCAGCTGGGAGCACATGAACCTGGAAGAGATGGACGGAAGGCAGAGTTAGAACTGGGCCTTGCCTTGGGCTCACTGAGTCCACAAAGGAGGACGGCAGAAGAGGCCAACAGAGATACCTGTGAAGCTGCCTGCAAGGCAGGGGCTTGGAGGAGATCGTTGGCAACTGCACGGGTGCCACCGACAGATGCCATGCCGTGCAACAGGTGTGGGAGAGGAGCTGGCACCTGCTGCTTCTGATCATGGGACTCCTTACTGATTATTCTGACTGTAGGTGACATTTATCAAACCCTTGAGCGTCAACCTACTGTCAACCTCAGAGAGGCTCAGTAACCAGCTCAGAGTTAACTCAGAGCTGGGTTTTAATTCTAGGCAAACCTGACTGCAGAACCACAGCCTCCTGCTGCTCCCTGCCCACAAGTCTGGGCTTTTGCTGCAGGGAGTCCCATGCTTCTTTAGGGTGCTTTGCTCCTCCGAGCAGAGTACCCTAAGGTTCCTGTCCTGTCCTGCTCATGGCCCAACCAGAGAGTTGCAGGTATTGGGGCCCATTTCTCTGTCTTATGCTCCAGGCTTAGTACTCAGCTCAGCAAATCACAGCTCAGCTGTGGCCTTAAGTCAGTAAGGAACAGGCTCCTTCAGGAATGCCCCGCGTCCCTCGCTGTGCTAGAGTCTTGTGATCCCCTGAGAACAGGCTTTTGGTCTGGATTGTGGGAGCGAGCCGAGCTCCTCTAGACCTCTCTCCTCACCCCTCACTTGCCTGGTATCATCCCTTCCTTCTGATCCTGGTCCTTCCTCCTCTAGTTTCAGTCAGCTGCCTAATGTCTGCCCCATGAAAGCAGAGAGGACAGCAAGAGAACACCAGCCTGTGGGTCAGCAGACCTGGGTTCAGGTTCCACTAAGCTCTGCCATAATTTTCTGTGGGACCCTTGACAAGGGCCTCCTCCTCTGAGCCCATTTCCTCCTGTGTAAATGGAGACCTCTGGACCAGATGCTGGCAGTGTCCTTCGTGGCTTTTCCCTGTGAACTCCATCATGCCGGCAGGAAGCACTGTTCCTCTCACCCTGGGTGGCAGAGCCTGGGCTGGGTCTTTGCTAAGCCCTGTGTATATCTGAAGGAGGAATCTGGGGTGCCCCTCCTTTTCTGTTAGAAGTGCTAACTTCTGCGTCTGTGTGGGCAGAGAGCTTGACAGTGCTCACACCCAGCTCAATTCTTCCAGTCAGTGGAAGGGGCGGGATTACTCAGAAAGTAAGTATGCTGGGAATTCGGGACAGGGAGGCCGCCCAGACCCCACAGTGCCTATGGCCAGCACTGTCCCACAGGCAGGGGAGGGTGGACACATCCTGAGATGCCATTACTGACAAATCAAGATCACTTTCCCTTATGTGTTAAGGATAAGTTTTCACACTTCTGATACTTCCAGATCAGGCCAGGAATATGCAGGAAAAGATATCATGACGGACACTTTTGTGGGTGGAAAAGTTGAAGCACAAGATAGTTATGACACCAAGGTCATGTGCGAGTGCCTGGCTGGCTGGAGGCTGCGACCTGACATTTCTGATGTCAGGTGAGTAGAACTTAACCCATTAAGTTAAAAACCTCGTAATGAAATGAGTAAGTGGCACATGCCTGTAATCTCAGCACTTGGGATGCTGAGGCAGGAAGACTGCTGCCAGTTCAAGGCCAGCCTGAACTACACGGTGGATTCAATTTCAAAAAACCATAAATAAATAAATAAAATGTAGAAAAATAAAAACTTTATAATGGCAAAAATAAAGGACCCAGTTCACAAAGAGAAAAACACACCATCCTCTTCTCTAGAACAAGGGGAGAAGCAGGGTTAGGAGCACATTTGAGCTGGACCTGTTTCCTTCTAGCAGATGAGTCGAGGCCATGCAATACTGAGCACATCACAGCTGCTTGCAAGGATGGAGAGGGTGATCCATCTCCAGAACCACAAGCTCACACTCAGTGTCGCTCTTTCCAAAACACAAATCCTAGATTCTGGCATGGAGAAATATGCACATCTTTTACTCTCTGTGTGAAAAGTGACAGCATTTCATCGGGTCCCAGGCCTCCTGACACAAGAGCAACGGCCAAATGTGTGGGCCACAAAGCAAGAGGCAGCAAGATGAGCTCAGATCACTGCACAACACAGCAGGAAAGCAGGTCAAGGGTTAGGATGGCAGCCAAAAAGAGAAGAAGCCTGAATGATTGAAGGGGCGGCTAGGGTTGTATGCAAAGCTGGACCCCACTGCACACAAGAAAGTGCCCAGGGCAGAGGGTGGGCAGGGACAAGGGAGCACAGGTCAGAACCATGTACAGATGTGCTCTTAAAGGCACAGGCTACAGTAATCAGAAAACGCTGGATGCCACTACAGCAACTGTGCCTTTCCTTTCCTTTGAGAAAGGATGACAGAGAGGTGATTTATTATGTCCACCATGATTGGCACAGAACCTTGCTCCAACGTTTCCACTGAGACATTTCCAAGCAGAGATGTGCCATCCTAAGATGAGCTTCCTACTCCTTCCTAGAGGGACTAACACAAAGAGTATGTGCCTGGCCTTCTCCCGTCACATGAAATTCACAGACAGGTGCCGCTTAGACCCAGAGTCTTGCCTGGCTTCCATAAATGTCTTTCCCCAGAGTTTGGTTTTCAGAGAAAAAGGAGAGGGAACAGATCCTGCCCCGGGCCCTCAGTCTGTGTCTCCTGCATATCTAGGGAAAGTCAGGGCATGGAAAGGTCGGGGATTGAGAGGTGGCGGGGGCTGTAAGAGCCTGGGCGGGCTGCAGGAGTCCTGTCTCACAGTAAAAGTGGTGGTGGTGGTGGGGGGGCAACAAGATTAGACCTGTTTCCTCCAAATGCCAAAATTTTCCTCCAAATTTAAATTTAAATTTTCCTCCAAATGCCAAAATTCTAAGTTAGTGCTCAACATTTATAAAACTAGACTTGTAAAAGAATAAGCCAATACCTTCGTACTGCTTTTGATTTCTATTTTTTCAAATCCATTTATTTCAAAGAAAAAAATAAAACAGTATTTCAAAACACAACAATCATAGGACAACAACGGTGAGTGCCTTTCCGTCCCCAATGATTCTGATTTTCTAATGAATCAGTGATGTCTGCAGTAGCCACAGTACTAATTAAACAGTGTCAGTGTTTACCGACCTCTTAGCGCCTGTCAGGCTGTTCTGATCACTTTCTGCACATGAACTCAATCCTTCCATGCAAGCAGGTTGTGGCTGTCATCTTACCAAGGAGGAGACGGGGATCCACAGGGTTTACGGGGGACAAGTGAGGGAGCTGGGAAGCTGCTGGCCTGGCAGTGCTGCCTGTGGAGACCAGGGTCCTAACTAGTCAGCTACTCTTACCATGGCAGGAACCACGGCTATGTCGCTTTAGCACACACGCAGGGAAATGGAGGAGTGACGGGCCACAGCCCTGCAGCTGTCCCCAGTGGAGCTTCCTGGCATGACATGGTGTGGAAGGTGGGGCAGTCTCTTCAAAACTAGGCTCCGTAGAGCCACTTGAGAGGTACAGTTCGTTCACCACACCAAGCATAGCTCTGTGGCTGCTGCAGTCCACCTTAGCAAAAACATGTTAGGACCATGAGAAAGTAGCTTGGTTGACCTAGGCAACAGTGATCGTGGAGGAGATGAAACTTTTCCTCCCTTCCACCTCCAGCCTCTTCACAGAGAGCTAGCAAAGGAGCTGAGGCTCATGAAGGTTTGCATTGAGTTTCATAAAAACGATCTGTATTTGAGCTACTTGTCTATTCACTCAGAAGAGATACATTTTATAATTAAAGCTTAAATTATTTAATACTAAATCAGTATATTTCACTAGAGTTATTAACCTGTTCCTGTATCTCTAAAGAGAATAGTCAAAAGGAATATACCCAAGTGGAATGCTCAGAGAATAATTTCAGAGAAAGGGCTCCTGGTCTTAAAGTAGGCATTTGACAAGACAAAATTCAAAGGTAAAGGTCAAAGGCTGAAGACCTGAAGACACTTTTAGGCATGTGCAGGTTTGGGTACACAGACTATTTCCCAAACTGCAGTTTCATTGAGAGTTGACTATCCGGGAAATAAAAAGGAAGTTCAGGCCTGTTTAAAATAAATTCAAATCAAGTGCGATGGTCCATGTCTGTAAGTCCAGCACTCAGGACGCTGAGATATGAAGATAGCCAAGAGTTCCAGGCCAGCCTGGGCTACATAGTGAGTTCAACACCGTCCTGAGCTACACAGCGAGACTCTGTCTCAAACACACACACACACACACACACACACACAATCAACTTGATCTCCCTACTTCACATGGAACTTTTATTAGTAATAATGCAAATGAAGTAGGGAGAAATAATGGCCTTGATGACTCAGCTGCTGAGTGAGCTCCCTTTTGACGAACTCACCTGAAGGTGAGAGGTCAAGCAGGAGTCTAACAAACAGCAGCAATGAAGAACTGAGAAAAATAGGGGCTGGGGATTTAGCTCAGCGGCATAAGCACCTGCCTTGCAAGCAGGTGGTCGTGAGTTCGATCCCGGTACCGATAAAAACAAAAAAGACAAAAAAAAAAAAAAAAAAAAAGAATTGAGAAAAATAAACCACTGGCCTTGGAAGGAAGGCGGGCAGCACTGCTGTGCGGCAGCCAGGCCCTTGGAAGTGACACAGTGATGAACACAGCCAGTGCAAAAACAAGGCTAATACTGGAGAGAAGCAAAAGGAAGACAGGAGAGAAGTGAACGAAGCCATTCTAGACGGCCACACAGAATTCTCCTGCCAGCACTGCAAAGAAGAAGAAGAATTAAAATCAGAGGTAAAACAACTGGACCAATCTTTTAAAAAAGCATGACTTTATGCTTCAGAAATGTTACTGAGGTTAGGTAGGCCTCCACTAAGAGACCATGTGTATTAACTGGATACCCTGCAAGTCTGGGATTTGGATTTTGTTTACTCTGTGTGAAAATTCTTAGGTAGTAAAATCCATGCAAATTCCTGTTTAGGTTTGGTATTTATTTATTTAT